GCCTGTCTCTTATGCAAGATAAATTTCTATCTAGCAGGGAATGAATTTATCTGGTTTGCCACTGTCACATAACAATGCCTTTGAAATGCCTTTCAGTTGGTTACACCTTATTTAGGTTTGATATCTAGATTACCTTTAGCTTATCAACTGCTGATAACATGCAAATACATACCTCTCAGGCAGACACTCACCTCTGAGTGTACATGATTTTAATACATCACTTTCTGGGATATATATTGGTAGAACAGTTTGCAGCCTGTAGATGAGGACACTAAGGGAAGGCAGTTGATGGTTCTTTAAAAAGGATAGGATGTGTAGCAAACAAAAGTTAGGAACAGCATATTAGAAATAAAGGATCCTTAAATATGATGTGCTGAGTTTTTGGGGACTTAGGACAGTGAAGGATAGTGACATTTGCAGACCTAATGACATGTAATGACAGTTTACCAGGGAGTATATTTTCTCCTGGTCTTATATGGCCAGCAGCTCTAATTTTATAATTATAAACCTTCTGCCACAGTAGTGCTGTGAAATAAAACAGGCAAGATAATATTACTGCATGTGGGTGTCAAAAAGTTTAGAAAATAAGAAGAGAGGAAAGGAGAAGAACTGTTGGAGATGGAAAGGATAAGGAACCCAGAGGAAGAAGGGAAACTTTCTGTACCATCACCATAAAATTTTCTTAGGTGCAAACAAGTGTAAATAAATGGTTATAAATCAACTCATGCTGTTTTCAGGGAAGAAGAATTTATAATATTTTTATGTTCTACAGTAAATAAACACCCTGTGGAAGTGGAAGTTCCAAAATGTAAATATTGTTATTAGAATGCATTTATTTATTTACCAAAGTAATAAAATTTTTCATTTTACAAACATGAATGAAAACAAACTCCTAGATGTAAGAAAAGTGCATTCAAAATTGAACAGTATCAGGAGAAAGTGAAATTCAGAAGGATTTATAAAATTGAGTTTGTGAGGATGCTGAAGTCATAGCACATTGTGTTTTAACTGGAATAGACAGAGGCTGCCCATAGCATTTACCTGCAAACAATTCTAATGTGATTCCACAGAGAAAACCTGCACTCATTTCATGTGGGGCAGTGTACTTGCCATCGTGTCCTAATGATTTAATAATTACTTTTCAAAACCTCAAATGTAGGCTCTTAGATGGGAGTCTGCTTGTAAGTACCTGAATAATTGAGCTTGTGTTGCACATTACCTGCAGACAAACTTTTCTTATAAGCTAAAAAATCCTTTTTTGTGACAACAATAATGTAATAATCTAGTTTTATCCTGTACTGTCCAGTTGTTCTACTATAACCTCCAAAATAGTTTGAAGTCGTGTTAAAATCAAATTTTTAGTGTGATCTGTCATTTCAAGAAGTTTTCAAATTCATTCTGGTCTGGTGGGAATGACATTACCTCCTTATTTGTGATGATGTAGAACAGCATTTGATGGCATTATTTTGATCAGAAATGGTTATGTTCCTAGGTCTGAAAGGGCTCATAAAAGTTACAGAAGAGGCTCTGTTAGAGTTCAGTGTTACAGGTTTTTTTGCTTCACTTTGCTAAGGCTGGTTCTTTTGTTTGGAGCCATTTTACCTCTTTCAGTGGTACTGCCTGAAGTTATTACTTAGGTTTCCTGCTTCAGCGTTACACTTTTCAGGTCACTGCAATGTGTCATAGAAACAAGTCCATTAAGATGAATGATGTGTGTTGTAATTTCATTAATCTCATCAATAATGTATTGCAGTTTTCTGTTTGGGAGTCTCTTTTTGTTTTGTGTGTGTCAGACTGACTGTGTGAATTATATTTAGAAGATCAAAATAGTTAAAGATGAAGGTAGATACTTAAGCAATTAGACCAGAGACTGGAATTGTTGTTTTAGAGGTGTAGGCTACAAAACCAATTTGTGTTAAGGAATGTTTAAGTAATTGAATTTCACAGTATAAATTAAAGTCTCTTGCTATCATTATGGATGTTGTAGGCACATAGTGATATCTTGTGCCAGTGAAATGGCTGGGGTTTATTTTTCAGTCCCTGTGTAATCTTTAATGAAAACACTTTTCTGACTTGTAAAGGCTTGGAAGTAATAAACTGGACTGACCAATTTTTTTTTCATTTGATGAAGCTTGGACAGAGATAAGAAGTAAACTTCTATAAATCGTTTCTCATGAACATGCATAAAGAGAGAAATCATTTTATGCAACAAAGGAGTGGCATGGCTTGCCAAGCAAAGATAAGTAATTGGAAAATATAAGATCCCAGTGAGAACTCCTAGCAGAAAATTCAAAAAAACAGGTGCCGTATAATGTTACTTACTATTATTTGCATACATAAAAACAAAAAGTAGGTTCTGTCATACCATGCAATCAGCTGTACTGAAGTCATATTACTATAGCAAAAGTTAAGATATTATTTAAACTATTACAGCAGATTGCTTGTCTCTGTCATTCTTGAAACCACTAAGCTTTTCTCATCAGACACCAATTTGCACCACAGTCAGGTGGGCTGGGCTATGAATACCTGTCTTTTACAGTGGATCACCTGCCCGTGCCTTTACTGTGGAATCACTTGTGATTCCAAAATCACAGCAGTAAATTTAAACTGTATTAACATCCTTATGTGTCAAGGCAAACCGTCTTTTTAGCCTGTGTGCCTTGTTTGGAGCACATTTGAAGATGGGGCAGGAGAAGATCTGTTCCTATTCACCACAAATGTCTCAGCAGTCCCCAAAAGTTCCAATGTTCAGGCCATCCACTCTTTTAGAGTCTGATTTCTAGCAGTCTAAGTTAGTGTTACTCTGCTGATGGTTATCATCTTCTGATGTTTTTATTAGTTGACATTACCCCAATAAAGGAATAGAGAAATCCTAATATAGATCAGGGAGCCAGTATTATAGGCATTTGGAGTAGAATTCCAGCTCAGTTAAACTCTCCCAGCCACCAGCAACCAGATCTCTCCTAAGAGTAGAAAGTAATGTGATTATTTCTAGCACTGACCTTACTCTTCAAGGCGTTTGAGAGGTTGTGAACAGGCTTCTTTCTCCCTATGAACTACAGGAACTATAGAGGAGAGTTCTTCAAAAGCCTGGTTCTGCTTGCACTGATCTCAGCAGGAGTCCCTGAACTGATTTCAGAGGGAGCAAAATCAATCCCTGCTTTGAAAAATACAGTATTTTCCATAGCACAGCCTATCCTTAAAAGCCAACCAACCAGGAATTTATCTGGTTCTCAGCATACAGAGTTTTCATTTACTATATCACAGGGACTGCTTTGGGACAGTCCACGACATAACTTGAGTCACCTTTGAGTGTAAGATGCATCATAGTGTGAGGAACAGCAGCATCAGCTCAGAGCTGAGGAAGAGCAGTGCAAGCTGAGGAAGTTATTGCCACATCTGCCTGTTAACAGTCCTCCTGATGGAAATTCTTGTCCCTGCTGAGCTGTTCCTGGAAGTGCTTCTAACCTGTTTCAGTCTGAATGATGTAGGTCGGTGATGACCTATTGTTTAAACTGTGTAAGCTGTCCTGCTGCTGCAGTGTTGGATTCAACCCCTTTCCCTCCTCTGTTTAAAGCTGCAATGTATTGCATTGCAGAACCCTTGAAATGGATGTATTGCTGCCAGGGGATGAAAAGCTCACCTTCCCTATTGCACATTGCTGGGTTTCCTATGTTTTCCCAGCATTGTCTTATGTGAGATGTAAAATTGTCTTATGAGGATAGGAGTTATTTCCTATCTTTGAAAAACACTGCTTCTCATTCAAAACATTATTTTTTTTTTAACTGAAAAGCGTGGCAGAAGATTGTAGGTGTTCTGTGCTGTCATTTATAGGGTTACTTTGTTACCTTTCCCCCTGGCAGACTGGCAGTTAGGTGATTCCTATAATAATAAGCTGCCCTTTTGTAGTCATCTGTCTCGTAGGTACTTGGCAGTTTTATTACTAATTTGGAGTTGCCATTTGGCCCGTTCTGTCACGCAATTAGGTTACTAACAAAGTATGTAAGTTGTCTTGTTTCTTGCTGTTTTCATTCCATGAATCAACTTCTCCCCTGCCCTGAACACCTGCCTTGTATTTAAGGATAAGGTCCTGCACCAAATCACTGTAGCTTTCCCGTTTCAAATCTCACTCATTTCTGTTTACAGTCAAAGGAGCTCCTGGGTGGAGATTTATGATATTTACATGCTCTTCTAATTAAAATAATGATTACACCTGGTTTTGGATAACATTTATAGCCTGCTTCAAAGAGTCTCATTAAAATCACTGACTAGCTTTGAATTCTGAGCCTTCCACACCTCATACAGATAACATTTCCAAGGGATCAGACAACACTCCTGCATATGTTTTTCTATAAACCATTAAAAAGTTTCTCAGATATTCTAGGAAAACACAGATTTTGTTTCACAAGGGTATAGCTGTGTCTGCTGTTTATTTCCTTCCTCGAGTGTGTGACATTAAAGATGGGTTGCTCTTGTTCTGATGCCACAAAGGATTATTGATGAAATAAAGGCTCTGCTGAAGGCAACGAGAGTTTCACCATTGACTTCAGTGTAGCTGGAATTTCACCTCTGAAGTGGGAAATAAATAACAGGAGCAGACAGGAAAAACAACAACAAACCCAAACCTGTGCTGAGGGTTCACAGCAATAATCAAACTTTTTTTTTAGAGGGGAATAAATGGAATCTAGCTGAGACGCAAAATCCTTCATGAGGGATGTGATAGGTGTAAGCTCATGCTTTTGAATAAAATCTTGAAAGGTCAAAGAAGAATGTGAGATTTCTTTGATGGATTTAGTGACTGTTTCAATGTATGTACACGTAGTTCAGTGAACAAGGTATAATAAATATACAGTTCTCTTTCACTTTGCCATGGGTCAGGTTTACTGTGCATAATATGTATCATCCATAAAGTGTGGCTGATACTTGCGGGATTTCTTGATGGCTTCTGATGAACTGTTTTGAGTAAAAAGTTTACCATTCTCTCCACTCTTCTCTTCTAGAAATATTCTTTACAGACTGGATGAAAGGACCAGCCAGTTTTCAGTACTGCTGGAGGCACTGGAGCACTGCAAACTGCATCAGTCAAATGAGACCATTCAAGCAGCCTTGTCAGAGGTGCTGAACAGCATCAATTCAGCTCAGGTTTACTTCAAAGCAGGACTTGATGTGTTTGAGACTACCTTAGCTGGAAAGAAATGAGAGGATTCTCTACATTCTAAGACATTTGTTTACAACTTGCTAAACAAAAATTCGACTTGGACCAGAATTGCTCTGAGGATGACACATTTCTCAGCTTTTCCTTCAGTTGTCGCTTAAAGGTACCGCAGAGCGTGGTTTTATAAATATAAAACAGTCTTTTGCACTGTTCACAGTATATCTCAAATGTCTATTCCTGAATGTACAAAACATGAGAGGGAATAACACTTAAGATAGGATTTTTTGGAAGGACATCTACTGTATTTTTATATGTAAAATATGTTTTTATGACTCAGATCTCAATCTTGCGAAGTACCAAGCACATCCTGCAACGCGCTGAAGACCTGGTTCTGAGACACCACAGGTGTATACCTGGGTGAGCTTTCCATCCCTGCTCTGTCAGAAAAATCTGACTTAAGTATACTCTTGTGTTTCTTAACTTCTTCAGCAAGCTCATCTTCTTCCTTACTCCGTTCATAGTAAGTAGTTGAAGGATGTGGCGTTTCCTCAGTTGTCCAGCACCAGAGTAAAAATGCACAAAACACCTTTACCGGTGCAATCCAACATCTTTACTCCTGTGGAACAATAAATACCTCAATTCTGAGAATACAGATAAACTTTGATTATTCCATTTCTGTATGAAAATAAAGAGTTGTTTTCTCTAATGTTTCTTGGAGAGAAAATTTTTGCGATGGTTTCAAATGATTTGAAAAGTTTGAATCAACAGTTACACTTGCACAAGAATACTTTCAGTCTTTATTTTAAATAAAAGAACTGCCTAGTCTTATAAGGCTACAGGCCTTATAAGCTTATACATTACCAAAACAGCCCACTTCAAGGTCTCTCTAAATTTCCAGAGAGCTTTAAATGGAAACAAGACCTCCAAGTCCTGGAAACAGTTTTGGGATTCCATCACTTGGACACACCACCCCACTATTCCAGGCCTGCCATATAGCACCTGGATTGTTGTCAAAAAGCACAAGCAAAACATAAATGCTGTAGAACCTGCTGCAGAACCAGGAATTCCACTCTGGAGGCACAAGCTGGTGAAGCATGTTGCAGGGCTAAAACTCAGAGCTGCTTTGCACTGGGGGAACCCTGTACAAAGGTTCTAATGATACCATTACTTTTTGGCCAAAGTAATCTGTGAATGGAAGGATCAGGAGGTTCAGTGTCCTCTGAGGGGATATACACATTTGAGAACTGCAGGTCTTAATAATGTAAACAATGGAAATTATTAAGCCCTATTGGGTTTAGAGTTTTACAATCTCAGATGATTCTGGGGTTAGAGCTTAAAAAATTAATTTTATATAGATACTTAGAATTGAAATATAATTTATTTAATGGAAATGTTAAATGTATTGTTACCCATTTTACCATGGAAATTATTAAAGGAACATTTCAGGTTGCAATAAAAATGGAAAAAGTGTCTGTATTAGTGTCTAAAAATTGCCTTCTGGAAAATTTCAAAGTGCACAACTTGATGAAAGACTTTTGAAAGTTCATGTAGCAAGCAATAAGAGTTGTTTACAGATCTGAGTTTCTCTTTCCAAAGTCATTGGCAAACAGGCCTCTATAAGCAATGACCCACAACTGGGTATGTATATCTGTGCATTTCTTTGCAAGTTATTATCTTATAATGGGCAGAACACCCCAGGTCTTACCAGAGGCAGAGCTGGGCAGTTGTACAGCTACCACTGCAGTGGGTATATGTTCAACACCAGTCAGTGTGACTGCATGAACTTAGACATGATTATCTTCTATCTTTCCTTGGCATCTGGTAAGCAAGAGTTAATGATGATTTTTTTGCTACCAATTCTGTTTACTGCAGAGAGAATTTGACTTCTGAAGAGTAACATTGTTTATGATGTTTATTCATCCCCTTCTTTGCATACTTTTGATTATTGTAATACTTAAGTGGTTGGAATATCCACTTTTGAGTTGTGTGTTTATTTTTTGATAGAATTTGGGGAGGTACTGTTCATGCTGCATTTGAATGATATTTGTAAGAAGGACTGTTCTTCTAACAGTTCACATAGTCAAATATTTTCCTTCATGTTGACTCACTGTGGAGCCAAAGCCTGTGGTCTTAAAAGATATAGTGTCAGGTACCATTAGGAGAACAAAAATAGAGATTAACACCTTCTTTGTCAGGTAAATTTAAAAACTGCTTCCTCATCCTTAAAATTTATGTTTCACCAAACTCAGGTCTAATGTAACCAAAGTGTACTCATGCAAAATCAGTGAAATCTACTGGGAGGAGTATCCCTCATGTATAATTTCTCAACCATGTAATTCCTCACTAAAACATTTATCTTGTTTTCTCACAATGTCCTTCTATAACAACTTTTAAAATAGCAGACTTCAAAGTACTCCACCAAGAAAGCACTGCTGTTGTAAATGCCTTTCTATTCTAGAGACATTCAGATGTTCTTGTTGGTGAGATTAATCAGATGAGCTATTTAGGGACTTAAATGCATTGATTTCAATGTCATCTCACACATGTATATATCTTTTGTAGGCTTTTTTTTCAGTGTTCAGATCTTACATATAAGTGAGTGCTCAGTGATAATATTTGTATCATTATAGCTTTTGAAGAAGCACTTTTGAGCCATATCCTTCCATTGATTTTTAAATCCTACCTATTGACTTCAAAGAATTTATGGCAAGTTAAGGTCCTAAATACCGTGTGTGTTTCTAGCATAGAGTTTTTGCCCAGCCAGCTGTGGAACATCAGCTAAAGGGAGGTGTTAGTAAATCATAGCACCTTATCCAGATTGACTTCATTCCTATGTTGTATTGAAATAAATAAAGGAGTGCCCTTAAAGGCAGAATTATCTCTGCAAATTGCCTGAATGATGCTAAAAATTTATTACCTTTTCAGAAACATCAATTGCCAGAGACAGTATAACAAATACATTGATTGCTAGTTAATCTAGAGTCATGCTTGCAATGACTAGAAAATCCCTGCAGCTTCCAATATTTGTATGTTGAGACAGTTGATAATAAAAAGCTAATAAGATTTTATTAGTGCATATTTTAAAGAGTCCATAAAGAAGCTAAAGTACAATCAACTCAGATGAATAAAAAGTACATGAGGGCTGGATTTTAAGTACTAACCTTAAAAAAGGCAGTGAATTGTTTTTATCATGCACGAAAAACTGTACCTGAGTGAATACAAGAGCACACAATTGCCTTATATCTTAAAAACATTGTATAAACCTTAATTTACTTGCAGTGATATGATACACCTACATAAACATAAATGTAAATAATAACTACATGAGAAAATTAGCAAACACTTTGCACTGCTTCACTTACCTTTTAGGAAAGTATTTCAGTCTAGAGATGTGAAAAAAGACACTGCAGCTGACCTCAGTTCTTGCAACAGCAGGTGGGGAAAGGTTAAATCTCAGATATCACAGGAGGAACCACTGGAGGTCACCTAGTCCAACCTCCCTGCTCAAGCAGGGTCACCTAAAGACAGCTGCTGAGGAGGGACTATGTTCAGATTGCTTTTGAACATCTTCCAAGGATGGAGATTCCACAATCTCTCGGGGCGATCTGTGCATGGTCACCCTCAGAGAGAGTGTTTCATCCTTCTGTAGATACAGTTCCTCCAAATCTCTTCCTATATTTCTTAGTTGTTAAATTATTGCAATTAGTTTAATTGCAAGCATTCAAAAGATAACCAGCATTTCATTTAGTGAAAACTCTTGGCCAAGGTCTCTAGGATTTCACAGTTGATATGTTAGAAAGTTTGTATGAGGAGATTTGTCCTTCAAGATGTGGAGTTCTAGAAACTAATATGTTTCTTTTGATGTCTTTTTGTACAGTCTTTGTCCCCGGTTACAGGATTTCTGTATAACTTAGGATACTGATGGAGAACAAAGGACACATTAGAAAATGCAGGGAGGAAAATTACCCGTCAGCACATGTGTAACTATGTGCTATGAACGCTTCTACTTTAACCAAACTTTGGGAGCTCAGTGCAATTCTATGGTTTGTGTTATGCAGAAAGGCAGGCAGGATAATGGTATGGGTCATTCTGGCTTTAAAAGTTATTAAATGCTATAAACATTGTTGTGTCTGGGCCTCTGTTCTCAAGGGAGCAGTTAAGATTTTCCTCAAAAGCCTTGTGCTGGAAGTTGTTATCTGTGTCACTCAGAAGTGGGTACCTCTGACATTACAGTACGTTATGGTTCCTATCTCAGGAAACAAGCACAGTATGGAAGATGTTCTTTCCCTTTGGCAGTCAGTAACATTTCAGCAGTATTTTGCCAATCCCAGAAAGGTGAGTGATAGAAACAAATCTCATTTTAAGATGCTTGGGACCTGAATTTGGAAAACAGCACTATAAATGTTCAAAATGTAATGAGGTATCTTCCTTTGGAGCTCTGAATTTAACAAATTTGAGATAGAGTCATGGGTTGCACAAATAAATATCTCAGAAATATAAAATACACATGTAGTTACTATTAAACACTATAATAATGATAATTACTTGGATACCAATGCAAAGATAGTTTTGGGTGGCTTTAACCATCTGTCTGTCTGTTCTCCCTCTGCCACCATCTTCTCCAAAATTAAACTCCCCCTTAATTTTCCAGCTACCAAGTTAATCCCCCTCTTTTCTCACACTTGATCTCAGTCATGCTTTTTGTTCCCCATTTGATTCTGAACTCACCTCCCTTAAGTTTAAATTCTTGTTCCTGCTACAGCTGACCGTAATAAAGAGCTAAAAGTGTTGGAAAAGTCGTGCTCAGATCCAAATGAATAAGGAGACATCATTTGTTAAATTCTAAGTGTTCTCTTCTGAGTCTGTGCAAACAGCAGGTTTTCAATTATAACTTCACTGCATGGAAGCAGATTTTCTTGGGGCCCACAAAGTATTTTTTTTCCTGTCCTCTTTCCCTCTAATGTCTGGAGCAGGAAATTCCCTCAAAAATAGCAATGTAGGCAGGTGATAATCTGGAAAGTTTTGAAATAAACTTTTTGAAGTTGGGTGAATAAGAAATTATAGACAAATTTAATCAGAGTTGGTACTACCTACTTCCTGTCTACAAAATAAAACAAGCAGTATGTAAGCTTGTTATTTTTCTGACCTTGCATATGCCATCCAGCACCTTTCATTACATGATGGCTTCATACAAAAGTTATGTGTGTAATTATACTGTATTAGTGTTTTAAATTATTAAGGATGATAAGGACTCAAGCCACATGCCCAAACCTGTACTCGAAAATGCAAACTTGAGCCCAGGAAGTGCCTAAGAATAATGAATACTTGTCTGGGAAGCAAAGGCTTTAAGAATATATAAATTAGACTGTATGTTTACTAAAACTATGGTGCTATCAAGCCTAACTTTGTTTTTTCCTAATTTTAATCCCATTGCTCCTGGTTATTTCTACAGTTGCTCGTATACACTTGTCACAACTGGAGAAAATGTACACCTACACAGATTTGCTCAAAGATTATATTCTCCCTCAGGCTTATTGACTTGGTCTTTTTTTTTTCAGCAGGGTTGACTTTATTGTAGTTGCTTATCAGGGTACTGTTCCACACGAGCGAGGTCAGCAGAATTTGGACACGATTTCTGGAATTTCCAAAAAGATTTGGTATCAGAATATCGTTTATTTGTGTTGAATCTATTTTCTTTAATCTCTCAACATAGATTATTACAAGCAAGAATACATATGGGTTTTTTAAAATGGGCAGGAGTCTCTTGGTCAATGTTAAGTAAACCCACAGGACAGGATATAAATGTGTAGGTACAAGTAATATAATCTAGAATAAACTTAATAGCTATTATAAATGTTGGCACAGATTAATGCACAAGTATATTTTACAGATTGGAATTAATACAAGGGCTTAATTTAAGAAGTGTAATCAGAATAGAGGCGTGGAACAACAGTTTTGCTGTGTAAATGTAGTATGTGCTTACTCGCCTGCCTAATGCATTTGGTTAAAATAGATTAGGATATTGTTTAAGCTACTTCTCTCTGATTTATTTTCCAGCAAGCCTTTGAAAATGAAGTCTTGGTCTTTATTTTTCCTTTAAAAGTGTTCTGCCTTTAGTGTTTATGGAAAGCCTATTGTGTTGGGGCAGTGTAATGCCGTCTTGTCTGATCATTCCTGGAACATTTAATAGAATTGAGTGGTATTTCAAAGTACAGTCTTTGGAGGAAGGTCCTTCACTGACCAGTTACTGTATATGATGTTATCTGCTTGAGTGGCTGCCTTTACCATGCCATGCTGTGGGTGTGCAATGTGAGGCTTTGAGGCACTAATTTTTTTTTACAGTAGCATTGCAGAGTTTTGCTAATTTTCCCCTGTTTGAGGCTGTTTCCTCCTGAGCATCCTGGTGATACAGCAATATAATACCAAGTGCTCTTAGCACCTGCTACAAGCTCTTCCTACAGGGGGCATTTTATGGGTTTTTCTGAGCAATAATAAGTGCATTTCCACTCTTTTTAATTAGTGTCTCTTGGAGCCCCACTCGGCTTTTATGTAGCACAGTCTTAATACTGACCCCAAGGTAGATGGAGAGGTCTGACTGATGTGTTGACTTGCTAACAAAACTTGCTACAAAAACTGCTGGTTGACCCCTATCCTTAAAAAAAAAAAAAAAAAAAGGCAAATAAAATACTTGGTAAGGGCTTCCCAAGCATTTGGTGTTTTCAGTCTGTACACTGAGGATTCTCAAAAAGTTTTGGATACTGGTTTGGTTTTTTTTTCCATGCAGTCTCATTTCATGTTCTCAACAGCTAAAACATGTTGTAGTCTGTGAATCCACTAGAGGGGAAATAAGGAGATCCTTAATATTTCATACTTAGAGCAAATAAGATGACTGAAAATTCTCTGTATTTTCCATTTGCAGTTTGTATAAGTTAATATGCAATGTACTCTTATCACATATATTGTGATTTGTTATTTTGAGACAAATAGAAAATGAATGTGATTCCATATATGCAGTAACTATATTGAATTCAGGGAATGCTTCACATCCAAGTGTCTTAGCTATTTGCATACAGTGAGAGCTAGCACAAATTAAGATGCTAGGAACAGATATTTTAGGGGTTTTTAGTACAGGTCTGGTAATGTTTAAGGCCAGATTTTAGCATTGCATTCATACCTAGATGTATGGTAATGTATTTTATGTCCTCATTGCTGTACCTGTGAGATTAATGCTCAAATGCTGTTCTCAATGTCCGTGTTAGTCTCAACACAAACTCTTATTTTTTAGCCAGTAACACCCTACAGAGTTTACCTAGTTGGGTGGAATATGCAAGTATTTCTGCCTTTTGTATGCAAAAGAGCAGCTGTCAAGTTGGGTTATCTTTGTCAAGCCTTGACATAGAATGTGAGATGCCTGAGTGATGACTCCTTCATTCCATCTACTACATTTTCATGTAGTAAAATCAGGTTACCACAACTGATAGCTAGTCAATGCAGAATACTAAGTAACTACATTTTTTTGACCGTGAAGTAATATAAGCTTGATGCAGTGACTCCTGGAAACCAATAAATATCATGTTATGTGGAAATGTGCAATGAAAGGTTGATTTTTATAACACATTATAGAATGTTGAGTCTGAATAAAGTAGCTTATTTGCAAAATTAGTTTACTTTGTATCAATTTGTACTTTTATAACATAGCATAATAAAAACGCAGTTTTGGCCATTAATGTAAGTAGATTCTACATACTTTGATTAAGAAGCACATTTTCTTGGTTTGTGCTCTGAATATGATTTTTGCAGTCTGTGAGAGTGTTTGTATGGAAGTGACTGTGGGCTGGAACTGAGTAATAGACATTTTGTGAAAGCAGTTGTGAATTAGACAATGTTTTTTCTTTAGTTGCATTGTTGAAAGAAATTAAACTGGAATATAAAAATGTGTATAATGTACATTGCACTGAATGTCTTGAAATTATATTAATTTGATTTTTTGTTGTTTTTTCTTTCTTTGTTTAATTGGTTCTGCCAGTAAGCTGCAGCATATGCCTCTCAAGCTGCTGATTCAGTAATGTGAATCCCAGGGCATTAAAGCATAATGGGAAGAAGGAAAAAGGCAAGGAAGGAAAATAATAGCTAGGCAGAACCCGAGAAGCTGTGATGTGATAATTTACTGAGAGGTAAACTTTGAATTATCCACTTTCTGTGGGGCTGATATATGGAAAGCCCAGATATTCAGATAATTGGTCTTTCAGGTGGGAAGAAATTGTCCTTGTAGGTTTTTGAGAACATAAATTTTGAAAAGTAGATAGAGACTTTGGGTCAAACTCAAAGTATTCAGGATGAGGCTCTTAAAATATACAAAAAAAAGCTACTGAACAGCCTTAATGCTATCTGAAGAGACCAACCAGTCAGTTTTTAAAATCTTGATTATATGTAATATAATTTGAAATTATTTGAAATTCAGATGATCAGGCTTTTTCCTGTAGTTCAAAGGTCCAGGTGTTTTTTATTTCATGAAAATATTAATTCCATCTTTTGCTTATAGTATATGAGAATATGTATTTCCAAGTTTTATTTCCATTTTGTATAGGGTTTTGCTGGGTTTTTTTGAAACTCCTGTTCACTATATTAAAAGGAAAAATAAAAGGAATACCTTGTAAATATTTTTAATCATGGCTAGATAATTAACCGTGTTTGATAAATGAACTCTGTACAAAGTGCAGCTCTGACTAGAATATTTCATGTAATGCTAAAGATTAATTTGTGAAACATATTCCTTCAGGGTATGTTTCCTTTAAGGCACATAAACTTGTGCCATGAAAATAGAAGCCACCTGTATATCAACAAATTTAGACAAGTACCTGATTTGCAATTCCTGCTGATAGATCTGTGGAAGTCAATAGTAATGAAAACTGGCATTGAAACAAAATGTTTTTTCACCTGGGTACCAAAATCTTCCTCTGTGGCTCTGATTAGGAGATTGCACCATTACTGTCTTTCACCAGGTATCTATCTGAGAAAGGATTTAAAAAAAAAAAAAGTATATTTAACATATAAGCATTCCAAGTAGTCAGGCTTGGTACAGACCAGATTTGTCCAAGAGAATGGGAATATAACCAAAGTTCTCCACTGATTTTGTTAACCTTGAGATTGCTATCGCATTTCTTGCACCTTTATTTCTTATCGAGTAGTAGCATAAAGATCCATGTGGGATGGGAGTCTATAGGATCATGTAATTATGAAGGCATTTGCATTTTGCATGAAGTGCACGTATGGTAACCATGCAACTGAAGTAATGAATAATTCGACACTGTCACCGTGAAGTGTTTATATACCTGGCTGATGAACACAAAGGGAGTAGAAACAGATTCTGGCCAAATTCTGATGGGTCTAGCTGTGGGGTCCAAAGTCCTAAGAGTGGCAGAAGTGGCCACTGGGAAGGGCAGGTGCTGGTAAGGTGGTTCTACTGCACCAGGCAGCGGAAAGCAGAGGATGGAGGGCTGCCTTTGCCAGAACCCTGGTGCCTGTTTGCCCAGCTCTGAGTGCACTGCAGACCAGTAAGAGCAGTTCAGCCCCACACTGCTCTGTTTGGTTTGCAAAGGTATGAAATAGCCAAGACTTTAACACTAGAAACAGTGGTAAATCCTGTCTTTGAAAGTGAAACTCAGAGCATTGAGAGTTAGTTTCTATATTCCATCAGAAGAGAGTATAAAAGTGGCTGTGAAGGTGGTGCTGTGAGCAGAATTGATTTTGAGATACTTAGTACCAACAAGTGGATCACCATTTTCTCCTAAAAGGAGATGGAATGGATGATCCTGGTACTGGATAAGGTAAGCTCGGTCTAAATATCTGAACTTTAAAAACCTTAAAGACTTTGTTGAGGCAAATACACAAAGGCACCAAAGCAAAGATTTCTTCCAGTGTAGTGACCTTGAACACTCAATTGACCTTATTTCTAACAAACTTCAATCTCTTTCTTCTGATAGTCCCCCCCCTCAGCTGCAGAGGCTCTGGGCTGTATCTCAAGTGTTGTCAGCTTGCATCAAGTGAAGATCTGATCTGCTGTTTGTAGCTCAGCCTTAAACAAAGGGAAGCATTTCTGACATTGCTTGGCTATCTCGTTTCAAGAGAAATCTGGTAAGATTTCTAGTCAATGCCTCCAATTCACCATTGGTGTACTTGAGTGAGGTCAGAGCTGTGCTAGAGAGGAATTATCCCATTGGGTTAAGGGTTACTTTCATGTTCAAAAGAGAGCAGACATTGGAATTAATACCATGCCAATGCCTACTTCCTCTGAACATGTGTCATTTGTTTAATAGCAAGCATTGAACTAAAATTGGATGGCTCCCTTAAACAGTTACCTGCTTTTATTTTGTATAATTAGTTTCATACAGTATCCTGTATCCCCTAGTTTAGAGAGGAAGATGACGAGCACAGTGCCCCATCAGAACTGTGTCACTCTATCTTCCACATGAAGAAGGGGAAATAATAGGCAGAAATGTACTGTAAGAGCTGAAAATACAGAAATATAAAATATAAAACTTAAAACAATAGAAGTGTTCACATGGTTATGCAATTTAGAATGAAAGTTAAACCACTAGTATGTAAAGTGAAACAAAATGGGTAAATATTGTGTCAATATTGAAGAGTAAAAATGACTGAGAAATGCTTTTGCTTTGATGGTATAAACCTGTGGAGATTGTTACACAACACACAGGGAAAAAATAAGGATTAAAAACTGGTCTAAGTCCTAGCTACATTGATTTGTGCAAGCTGTAATGTGTGAGAAGGTGTACTGCTGTGGGACTAGTCAGACACTGAAATGTCTACTATCTCTCAGAAATGAGCTGTTATATTCCTAACTGGAATATGGCATCCAGAGAAACAAGAACAAGAAAAGGGAGATTTTTGTCTTTATCTACCACAAAAAACCTTCACATTTTTAACTGTATTTCTGTGTTTTCCTCTGAATAGTAATAGACCTCCGAGTAAGAATTTGTAGAGATGGATTTGTCTCCAGCCTGGGTGACAGGCAGATGTTTGTCAGCGTGAGACTGTATGTGAAAGATGGTCAAATTAGCTGAGTAAGTTTGCGCATATGTCATGTGTCACTGCATTTCCTAAAGTGAAAGATCACTGCTTTATCTAAAATGAAGATGTAGAACTCTGCTGGGAGACCTTGATATGCAGGTGTTACTTACACAGAGAGTGTGAAAAATCAGAGCATACCCTCACGCATGAAGTTCATATTTTCAAATTCTAGGTGGACGACCCTGTAATGAGCACTGACTGAGTTCACTTTCAGGACTGTGCCATTCATAAAGCACTTGTCACGCTCTCCTAGCACAACATAATCAGGGCCCTATGAGTGAGTAATAGCCTTGTGTTCATAGCAGGGCAATTTATTATCCTATATGTAAAATGACAACTTCATTATCATTCACTATTATAAAATAGCAGGGAAAATAGCAGTTCAAATGAAAAGGAGGCTTTTTAAATAATTCTTTTTACAGTCAGAATATCCAATACATAAATTCACGGCATGTAACATTTTTATTAATTTACAAAGAGTTTAACTTGATGTTCCATGGCACACTTCACTGATGCTTCATTTTTAGATTTAGAGATAAAAAGTCGTAGTGACTGGCTGCAACGTCGTGGGTTTTATTCAACCAGCTTTGTACCTCC